GCAGTGCAGCTTCTTGCCACTAGGCCACCAGAGCTCCTTTTTGACAGCTGCCTTCTGGTTGAAGTATAGGTTTCACAGGAGCATAATCAAGAGTTCAGATCCCCATTCTTCTCAAGGTTAGCCACAATTTGTTGTGATATACACAGTCAAATGCCTTTGCATAGTCAATGAAACACAAATATATATTTCTCTGGTACTCTCTTTCATCAAAAATCCATCTAACATTGGCTATAATGTCCCTCGCTCCACAGCCTCTTCTAAATCCAGCCTGCACCTCTGGCAGTTTTTAATTGATGTGCTGTCCCAGTTGTTGTTGGACAATCTTCAACAGTATCTTGTTTGGATGTTATAGTAATGATCTTGTCCAGTAATTTCTGCGAACTCTCAGATCACCTTTTTTTGGAATGGGAATAAGAAAGGATCCCTTCCAGTCAGTTGGCCAGGTAGAGATTTCTTGGCACAACTTCATGAGCACATCAAGGGCAATATCTGTTTGTTGAAGTGTGTCAATAGGTATGTCGTCAATTCCTGGGCCTTGTTTTTTGCCAGTTTCTTCAGAGTAGCTTGAACTTCCTCTTTATCACCGTTGCCTCTTGGTCATATGTTATTTCATGAAATTCTTTTGTGTCAGCCAGTTCTTTTTGGTATAGTGACTCTGTGTATTCCTTCCATCTTCTTTTGATGTTTCCTGAATCATTCAACATTCTGCCCACAGCATCCTTAAGTATTGTAACTCAAGGCTTCAATTCAGTTTTGGTTCTCAGCTTAAGAAATCCTGAGTGAGTTCATCCCTTTTGATATTCTGACTCCAGCTCTTTGCACATTTTATGATAATACTTTGCTTTGTCTTCCTGAGCCGCCCTTTGAAATCAGCTCCTTAACTTAACTTCCTGCTTTCTTCCCTTTGCTTTGGCTTCTTGGTACTCTAGTGGAGTATTTAGTGTCTCTTCTGACATCCATCTCAATCTTTTCTTCCTCTTCTGTCTGTACAATAATGACCTTTTGCATTCTTCATAAATTATATTCTTGATAACCTCCCACAGCTTATCTAGTCTTCGCTCATTAGTGTTCAAGGCTCAAGTGTTCCTGAGGTGGCCTTTAAATTCAGAAGGTATATAGACTCAAGGTCAAACTTTGATTCTTGTGAATTTGATTTGATTTTCTTTAGCTTCAGTTTGAACTTGCATACAGTCAGCAACTGGCTTAGATTTCACAGCCAATAGTGAGCTTCTCCAAAAATTTTTTTCTGTGTGTGTAATCATTCTTTTTTTTTTAAAGAAAGCCCTTTTAAAAATTTTTTTTATTTTTTATTTTT